GTGAGCGAGGGGGCTGCAGAAAGCTGAGCAGGGAAAACAGTCCGTCCTTGCCTTTTAGCTCTTCTTAAATAGCCTCTGGCCCTGAGAAGCGGAGCCCTGATGACTTAGGCTGTGGAGCAGACCCGAGGTCACCTACCTGAGTCACCTTGTTAGTGACTGATCTTCTGAGATGTTTCTGCTGTCAGAAACAGCACACTTATTGCCTTAAAGTGTCTCACACTCAGTGTGGTGTGTTAGACATCACCATTTAGACCCAGAGATGATCCCTTGCTAAAGGATATCGCAAACTCACTTTCTTCTCTGGGTTCCTGCTGCAAAACCTCCCAAATACTTTCCTGCCCTCCAAGCTGCAGAATGCCAGGCCTTAAGTAGGAGTTAGAAACCCGGTCTGCTATTTTCGGAATCCATTTGAACTCTTCTCTTAAAAATTCCCGTTGGATACCTTTCAGCTGAAGGCCTTTTGAGGCCTCTTCATTTCAAATCCTATCTGATAGAAATTATGGCTTTAAAAGGCAGCTCTGCTCTAACAAAAGCAATGTGCATCCACAGCTGGAATTGGCAGTCAACTAATTAGGTCAGATCTAGGGACTGAATGGTTGGACATAGAGGAAGCGTGGAAGGGGAAGCAGAGTGGTTGAATCGTGGGTGGAAATGGCTAGAAGGACCCAGAAAAAGAGATTTGTTTGTAATTTGGGTAAGGGAATTGGGTTGAGGAGGGAGAGGAGCAATCACAGCCCGACTGATGAGTTCACTTTTCTCTGATGTAACCGTTCACAGTGCCAGGAACAAGTCTGCAGAGGGCTCAAGATGGCTTCTGTCTCTGAGCAAAATGGGAGCAGGATGTCAGAAAACTGCCTGCTGTTGTTGCAGCGAGAAATTCAGTCCTCTGCCTCTTATGCTCCTCGTAGCTTGTTCAGGCCTTGCTGCTGCAGGAGATGAGGCAGAGCAGGACCCCCTCCGGGGCTGGCAAGGAGAGGAGGGTGGGCCTTTTTGTGGATCTCATAGCTGAGAAGTCGTTGTGATCTGCACTTGGCGCTCTGAGCACTTCTACCTTGTGTCCCTTGTCCCTGAGAAACTGGTGGCTTTTCCTTTTAAACATAAAAGTTGCCCTGTGGATTGGCTGTGTCAGTTGGAGAGGGAGAGAGAAGGAAATGCAGCTTTCAAGTGACAGGGAAGCAGAAAAGACCTGAAGGTTAAAGCTGAGGGGTGAGATGGCTTAGGGGCATGCTTTTGGGGTGGGTGGCTGAGCCTGCGTATGTTCTTATGCTTGCAAGTAGCTCCATCATCAATACAGATGAGAGTGACGTTTCTGGTTCACGCTGAGCCATTAGAGGCTGTCAGATTGCAGCAGGCACAGACCACAGGAAAGGAACAACAAAAACACAAAGCAACCCACCCCAGCGTCACCTCCAGGGTGGGGGAAGGACGCCTTGGTGTCCTCCATCAGCCTGTGCCTCGGTGACATTTTAAATAGACTCCTGCACACGGTGTTGCCTGCTGCTGCCTCGGTTGTCAATGTCAGAAGGGGGAGGGGATCTCTTCCTTGAGTGGCTTGGTTCTGGCAGTCCCTGTAATGTTTGAGCTGTCACAACAGGGAAGGTTCCCAAGGAAGCCGCTTACTGAACAAGAGCTGGCTGGATGCCTGCTTCTTTCGGGCTCAGAGATGAGCCGGAGTAGAAAGGGGAGGTAACTGAATCCCTTTCAGGCTGAGCTCCAGCGATAGCCATGGTGGTGTGCGCTTGGACAAACCCAAACCGGTGGGCGGTCTGGGCCTCTCCTTCCTGGAACAGCCAGGCTCTCCTCTCGGAAAGGCTCCGCATCTCCAGGGTGTAAGTGATGCCCTGGCACCTGCCGTGAGTAGGCAAATGTCCTCGTCGT